AAGAACACCTATTTCATTTTATTAGAACTGCATTTTATCTTGGCCTTAAAATTATACACCTCAGCTTTTTGATCATGTAAATTATTTGTTGACTAAGGTTTGAACGGCCTGTGGGTATTACCAAAACCCAAAGCCACCTTTGAAGAATAAATATTTTGTTCCTTAATAAGGATAGACATGAAGATACTGAGTTAATTTTTAAAGATTTAAAACCAGTCAGAGCAAAGCAATGTAATAAGGAATAAACCATATGACTTTGTAAGGTGACTACTTTGAAAAGGCCAACACTCATTTGGATGTATATTTATATATGTATGTGTGTTTTGCAATGCCTAGTCAGTTTCATTACCTTGTACTCATTCTTATATACTCAGAGTTCATTGATTTTCAAGGTACGAAGTTATACTACCATTATTTCACTTAGTATCATTAATCAAGGGATTAGTATAAAGTACAGATAGCAAAAACATCACAAGATGGCAGGATGGAAAGAGAGTGTGGATGTTAATCAAATGCCCTCTCAGGTTCATGTGATTATGTTTGTTGTCTACACACTGTTTTAAATTAGGAAGGGGAGAGACTCAGCTCTCCACTCCCTCTACTCTAATCCTACCCAATACAGGCAATCCATTTGCCTTATATTTTGTAAATACAGTGTGTTTCTGGCCAACGAGAGTGTGCACATTGATTCAGGGGGAGCTGCTGTGGTCTACACGGCAGTAATGATAGGCTAAGCGTTTGCACCATTACATTGACCTGACCGGCAGTGACAGCTCAAGAAAAGCTGTCACCTATCATCACACTCATCGGTGGATGACAAGTTTTGCACATCCTTCCATTTGGAATTATCAAACTACCAAGAGGAGGATCTCTCATCTAAAAAAGCTAACAACTTAATGACTAGTAGACAACATTTAGAGTATTTTATCTCAAGCCATTCTATAGGCCCTGTGCCACTCACTCGGGTATACGGTTCACGTACCACTGAGGACTGTGGAAGAATTCTGTCCACATGGCTTACCGGCAGAAGAACTTGCCCACGACACACACAGTTAAAATCTAAGTTAGCTGGCTGGTACCGATATGGGACGCTGGTTTTTGCTGAAGAACTAAATAAGCAATGATAAAAGGAAGGCTTAAAAAAGAAGTGGCGTAAAATGAAAAATATGAATTCTTTCCACTTGAACACAAAGCCTCAAATTCTCGACTTATTATTGTTCTATGGAGAGGCCAGGCTACAGTCAACTTGGGAATGTGCACTCATCTACTTGGTGCCCCCTGTCATAACTGGTACGATGTACTAAGGATGGCTGCTATCATTCCTCTACCCTGTAATATACCACCATGCACACAGAGAGAAAATTCAGTGCAGGCTGGTCAGCTGGGAGCCTCTCTGTACCAGTCTGCTTGGAACCAGGTGGCTGGCAGTGCTTGAACTGGTGAACTCATCATTCCCGGGCCTGGCTTTGCTTTGTGTGTACTTTCCTGACATCCTATGAAATCTCAGTCCTGTCAACTACATTCCTGGGAGAACTGCTCTAAGGCATCTTGCAGCTCTGACCTCTTTGGAGCCAGAGGACACAGGATGGTTCCTCGTCCTTGACCAGAGCGGCACAACCGTTATTTCCTCTCTCTCGCAGCCTGTCACCACCGCGCTGCTCCAGCAGGAGGCCAAGGATTCCAGTTCTGCACCAGCGCAAACTGGCAGCAGCACCAGTAGGCTGGCACCAGAAGCAGTCATTTTAAGGCCCCGGGAGAGGAAGCTGCCTTCCACGTACGTCCCTGTCGCTCTAGGTTTAACGTAACTGTGGTGTTTTTGCTCCCCGCTATTTGTCTTGTGGCAAAATAGAAGGAAATATATAGCCAGGCCCCAGAACCTTTTTATCAAGTTCAATTAGGAGAAGGGAAGAAAGGAAAAGGTCTCTTAGCAGATATGGCTGCATGAAGAACAGGCTCCTCACGAGGCTGTCAAAAGTCAAAATAAACACTGAACCCTTATGAGGAAGAGGGAACACATACGCTGTGAGTGAATATTTCAGAGACAGACGGACCTGGGGCCATTCTGTATCTTTTACCCCTACTGGTCTATTAATCTACTTGCATTTCCCCAGTTTTTATTGTCAAGGTATTATAAATTAGGAAACTTACAAAAGAGAGTATGTAATCTTCTCTGAAATGGCCTGCAGATATGTCACTGTACTAAATGTGTTTCAGATTTAATGAAGCTTTAATGTCCTTTTTAATTTTGCCTGTTTCTGTATCACCAGGGGTCGGGCAAGGCAATCAGCACTCAAGAGGGTGGTTTGGTTTAAAACTAGGAAAAAACTCATTTGCTTATGAGTTGCACTGTATTTTCTTAATTAAATTTACTGAGTAAAATGGTTTAAGTTCAGCCAACCAATGACCTTTGTATGTAGATTTAGATTTATAAATAGGTTAACAGTTAAAGGAAAGGGGAAAAAAAAAAGAATCACAACAAACCAAACAGATTAGGACTAAGCCAATAGAAATCTTTGCTCTCTTTATCATCTTTACAAAAGAAGCATTTAAATATAGGCAGCTTAAGTCCAGTTAAAAAAAAAAAAGTATATTGAAAAATGTGGATGCACATAAGCGCCAGCAATTCATCAAATGACTCTCACATCCTTTTCATTCCCAGGAGGGGAGCGGCCTGTGTTGTAAAAGATTTGGAAAAGCTTTATTTATTTTGGGGGGGGGGGTGGTGGTGGAGGGAGAGATGGGGGAGGGAGAGGATTCTATTTAATGTTAAAGAAAAAAGTGCATTTTGAGTCCAAATACTTAAGATTCAGCAAACTGCTAAATACTCTGTTCGTTGTGGGAAATTCACTATGTAAAAGGAAGAAAAAGAATGCTCTGAAAACATTTACCATCGGGAATACATTTTAATAACAGTAAATCACTAACATTTCACTGTAAAACTAAAACTGTTCCTTAGTGTCATCTTACTGATCTTTGATTTGTCCAATCATAACCTATGAAATACTCTTGAGTTAGCCTCATTTGAATATGTTGGATTTTATAATTTAAATAATAAATATGTGTATGGGGGTGTGATCATAACGACTGCCAAATGCATAGCAACTGCATAATAGAAACATCTATATTTTAACAAAAAGAAGATATTTATTTACAAAGCAACAAAAATGGCTTCTGTTGGTAACACGAATAATTATGGTCATGAAGTCACAAATGATAAAGAGAAAAAATACACTGTAGCAAGAAAGCAAGTGGGGAATACAAATTCAGAATATGTTTTTGGTGAATCAAGTTTCTTAGAATATCAACAATGTGCTAATAGTTTTAAATTTACAGTTATACTGAAGAGCCCTGGATTTTTTTTTTTTTTATTCTTAATTTAGACATACTCTGTGTTTCTCGGCATAACTGCAAATTGAAAATAAGCATTTTCAATATAGCCAGTGATCTAGCTGAAGGAGGACTTTATAGCCTGAAATGTTCTAAAATTTGTTCTTAATTACCTTGTGCACATTTTACACAATTAAATTTCCATCTAAGGATCTTGCATTTAGATTGTGCACTGCAGTTAAACCTTCATTTTATAGAAATGCAGCAGTCACTTTGGAACATTCAGACACGGGGAAACTTTAAAAAATCAGACTTAACTACTGGATTACATAAAATTCCCTAGGTGAGATTTCATCCCAAGACCAATTTACACAGTCCTAGAGAGAGAGTTTAAATCATCTGAAACTATGCTGGTGAAGAACCATAATAAATATTAAATACCTCAAGATCTACCCTAAGATTTGACTTTTCTTCCCATGTATCAATTTCACTATCCCCTTACTGAATGGTTTAAAAACAATCCAAAGGATATAACAGCAATTTACCAGTGTTAAAGTGCTTTGGAGGTTAAACTGACAACAAAGAACAGAGAAACACAAAGCGTCTTGAAGTAGGGTTTCAATTAAATGTGGAGGATTTAGTAATGCAGGACCAAAAAAAAAAGAGTTACAAATTAATTTAATCTTCTGCCTATAGTTTGCAGCTGCACTCCAAAGTGTCTAGGGCTTAAGAACAAAGCCTTAAAAGGCCTCGGAGTGAGGAAAGCTTCAATTTTTAATGTATAACGCCATTAGCTGATAACTTGTGGAATCTGCGACCCCTGCGGAGGGGCATAAGTGCGAGTAACAGAGACTGATGAAGTGACATATTTGTTCGTGTCTAGAACTATGAGGAAGAGGGTTATTACTAACACCATCAGGCCCAACAGAAATATGCCCTAATAACCTTAGGGACCCTCCACGTTATCAGTTATCCCTACATCAAATATATTAAAATCAAAACCTAATTCACTTTAATTAAAGACAATTAGTTTGTTTTACTATTATTGTTTTAACTTGTGTGATATTATAATACACTGCAAATTAAAGATGGGATAATAAATGTAATGAAAGCGCCAAACTAGGTACACCTTTCCACCCTGCTTGGAGAAATAAGCGTACCATTGGTGTCTATTTTAAGGAAATGCATGGACGCCATCATTAAAAGTGGTGCAGAAACATTTCACTCTATGATGAAATACAGTGGGACCCTGCATATCTCTTCCCTATTCAATTTATACTTTTCACATAACACTTTCCTATAAACTGTAAGGATTTCCTTAACACAAACAGAATTATGGCCCAATGGAGGCACCAGAAGCTTAATTAATTTGCCCAAGGTCATACTGCAGGTTGGTGGCAAAGCTTGTTAAATCACTAAGAACTGTGGGCTCTACAGATGTTTTTGGCAATGGCAAAGGACCCTGTCTGCAAAGGCCTCAGAGACTTCCAGTGCAGTGGGTGAACCACGACAAATAACTCATTACGGCTGTACAAAAGTGCTAAGTGCTCCTGAGAGCTCGCAAATAACATGTTTTCTTTGTGTCGAAAGAGCCTAAATGTGAGGCTCCCATCAGGAGGGCTTCTTAACATGTGCCAGTATTTAAAAAAGAACTACTCATCCTCACTCGAGTCCATGGATAAAAAGTAAATTTATTTTAACTGAAGGAGGTCAAACGCGGTAACACAAAGAAATAAATCAAGTCCTTCCCCATCATTCGGAAGGTCCTCCATTCTATCCCACAGATTACTAGTAATAGTGGAGAAAAGACAGCATTACAAATAAATGTTTCCAATAGAGTGTGGTGGTTTTTTTTTTTTTTAATTAGAAATGGGCTTATTACAGTGGACACTTAAATGGAGAGAGGGCAACGGTAATTCACAAGTACAATATCCTAGTGCTGTTCCATTAATTGCTTTATTTGTTTCACGGTTAAAAATGATTGCTTGCTGTAGCCTAACCGTGGATGCTGAAGAGCATGATACATTGAGGTCTCAACCTGGGCAAACTGTACCTAAACTTACACTTTATTGCAGCTTAGTTCACAGTCTTCACCTAATAGAGGGGCATATCCCAGTGCAGCAGCAGGATAAATCACCCTGGAATATTACTCCGGCGAAGTTTAGCTGTGACTGCAGCATATGTGCTTTCGAGCCACTGAAGCAAAGGCCCATAAAATACACTAATTACTGGAAGTTATGGTCACTGAGTGATTGATAGCGCTCTGCAAGGCAGCTTCCTCATTTTCAGCTCTTCTGACGGGCTCGTCCGCCACATAGCAATTATTAATTCATGACCCACCCCTCGGGCACCAGTACCTTTACTTCTAATTCTCCTGCTACCAGACTACTGCTACGGCTGGACACTGTCTTTCTTCATTCTGATGGCTGGGTAAGGATGATAAAAAGGAGATTTCATGCTAAATGCTATTGTTTTGAATCTTTAAACGTTGCTCGGTCCTTCTCACCCTGCTGTCCCAACACATAAATTCTCCTTCCTCTCCCACAATGCTATTTCACTTGCATCGTTTTCTTTCAGACTGTGTGTGTTTGTATATGTGTGTGTATATATCTATCAACCTATCTATACTACACTGGAGCAAAAACTTTGAATAATTTTTTGCATGAATATTACCGTTTAAATGCAATACACAATTTCAACTTGGCCATAGTAAATATGAAGCAGCTGATTAAAAAAAGAAAACCCTCTCTATTTGAAGAGACCCACTTTTGTAGTGGGTCAGAGGATTGTTCAATCAGAGGATTGTTCCAAGTTGATTTCCACCGGTATCTTTACTCAGAACAATGCTAATTGGGTAATATAAATCTCTAAAAGTCACTGAGAAACAACTGCAAAGGTCTCTTTTGATGGTGTCTTGTGCACTGAAAGGAAATTCAGTGAGAAACTCTAAATTAAAAAGAGATAACGTCCAGTCATGATGGCTGAAAGCAAACAATTTACTTTTCTAATAGAAAAATGAACTTCAAATTTTTGCACAACTCAAAATGCAATACTGGAGGCAGTTTCTCTATCTGGATTCTAAGATGGTGTAACAACAGATGAACAAATGGAAGTCCGGGTTACCTATCCTTTCAGGACTTGGTTCAAATTACTACTCCTTTTCTGCTGGGAGTTAATCCCAGAACACAATTTTGAAGACAAAATTCCTATCACTCCCTGTCCATACCATTCACTGGGCAGCGGAGCACATCCTAGCTGGTGACATTTCCTAGTGTTCTACATCTTCCTGTGTCTCTAAGGCCTGGTAAATTTTGAGTTTTGTTTAAGGGCAGACTCTTAAGTCATATACTTTTGTGTTCTTCATGACACCAGAAATGGTATTTTGCAGTCGGCTGACAATAAGCATTTGTTGATTATGATAAACCCCCTGATGGTGAGGTCTTCTAGAGCTTACCCAACCTGGCAGTGCATGTTAGTTGTTTCTATGCTATGATACCTTTTTTTTTTTTTTTAATGTAGGCTCCACACCCAGCATGGAGCCCAACGCGGGGCATGAACTCATGACCCTGAGATCAAGATCTGAGCTGAGATCAAGAGTCGGACGCTTAACTGACTGAGCCACCCAGGTGCCCCTCTGCGCTGCACTACTTTAATGAACATAGTATACAAACTCTTCAGTAATGTGGGTTGATAGTTTTAACTGACAAGGCCCTCTTACACATCACTGCTTAGAATAATCACTTTGACATATTTAAGCATTATGATTAATTTAAATGGCTTATTTCTTATTAAAGACTTAGGGGTTGCAAGCAGGGAAAAAGACTGGAGTTAACTGTCCTTCAATCCATCTCGTGTACTTTCAATAACCATTTTAATCTTCACAGTGAGAATTAAGAAATGACACCCTTTCAATATGTTTGTATAATGCTGACCTGTGTCCTCTAACAGTACACAACTTCAATCATGGTAACAGTCCCTGCAAACCTAGCTCTGGGTATGGGGCAGGGCATGGGGGGGTGTTTCTCCATTTCTAAATTGCTCACTGGAGTCATGCAGCTGTGAGTAGCTGAGAAAACATCAGTGCTGGGGTATAGTCCACTGGTTCAACCAACTCTACACTTCTGTTTCTAGACATTTCAAAGTCAAGGGAGTCATCATTGGGTAGTATTCTCATACTTCTAGCATCTGTATGCTGCTCCTAGGAGAGAGAGAGAGAGAGATGGAGTGCCCACTCCCACCAAGGTGCCATGCATGCAGGTGAAATCATCTTGGATCTTCCATTCTTTTTTTTTTTTTTTTTTTAATATTTTATTTATTTATCTGACAGAGAGAGACACAGCAAGAGAGGGAACACAACCAGGGGGAGTGGGAGAGGGAGAAGCAGGCTTCCTGCCGAGCAGGGAGCCCGATGCGGGGCTCGATCCCAGGACCCTGGGATCATGACCTGAGCTGAAGGCAGCCGCTTAACTGACTGAGCCACCCAGGTGCCCCTTGGATCTTCCATTCTTAACCACCATCTGGCTGCACCCTCACCGGAGCCCCTGTGGATACTGCGTCTAATGGCTGAGCCCTAAGATTCTTGACCCATAGAATCCTGTAAATAAAGGGTTGTGATGTTAAGCCACTAATGTTAGGTGCTTTATTAAGAGTAATAGATAACTGAAATGCTTTCCTTGACATCGATGTTAGCCCTCCCTCTCATCTGCCCAGTCCTATGCACTTCCATTGCACTTTTATTTATCTTTCTACCTACTAGTCAAAGAGCTCCTGAGGGCAAAGTTGGTATCCTTACTGCCAACACAGAATAGCATTACATAAATATTTACCGATTAGATGGAATTCTCACCTACGCACTTCCTAACAGAGCAGATACACTGGAGATTAGGTTAATTTTTGTATTTCTTTAGAAACATAAACTAAGGGGCGCCTGGGTGGCTCAGTCAGTTAAGCGTCTGCCTTTGGCTCAGGTCATGGTCCCAGGGTCCTGGGATCGAGCCCCACGTCGGGTCTCTGCTCAGCAGGACCCTGCTTCTCTCTCTCCCTGCTGCTCCCCATGCTTGTACTCTCTTTCTCTCTCTCTGTCAAATAAATAAATAAAATCTTTAAAAAAAAAAAGAAAGAAACGTAAATGAGGTATTAGTTTCTGAAAACCAATGGTACCTGTACACTCTGAAATATGGTAACGCTGAAGCAGCTATAGGGAGAGGGTCACGGTGTCGGTAGGAAGCCTGGGAAAAGCAGTCTTTTTTTTTTTTTTTTTAAGATTTTATTTATTTATTTATTCATGAGACAGAGAGAGAGAGAGAGACAGAGGCAGAGGGAGAAGCAGGCTCCCCGTGGAGCAGGGAGCCTGATGCGGGACTCGATCCCAGGACCCTGGGATCATGACCCGAGCCGAAGGCAGACGCTTAACCAACTGAGCCATCCAGGCGTCCCTGGGAAAAGCAGTCTTGACTGACAAGCAGAATCACAATAAACCAGTCCTTTCCTTTATCTAATTTCCTGCTCATTTACGTTTACCATTTCTCTCTTCTCTTCCCAAACTACTTGATCTGCTTATTCTCTATAGCATAATGAGAGCAGCAGAGTCAGGGGACATGACTGCCGCTGCCTGGCCAAGTCACTTAACCTTTCTAAAGAAGTCCTTTAATTTCTCTAGATTTCAGTTTCCTTACTTGCAAAATGGGAGCTTTGATGCTTATATGGTGGAACAATCTTGGGGTGCCTCAAAATACTGATTTTTCAGTCATTTCCCATCACAGTGTAGGGGAGCCTAAATGAGGTAATATCAAGTGGTTCTGTTAAGTGTTAGGTACATGCAAAGTGTTATGTTGTCACCCTTCTTGTGAGAATGACACGGAGCAAGAAGACATCAACAACTGCAAAAAGAGGACAGAGCACCAGACTTGACAGCAGAAGTCCTAGATTCCAGTCCTCTTCTGCACAGGACTGGCTGCGTGCTGTCACCGTGGGCAGGTCCCCTCCCTCCCCTGGCCCCCAGCTTCCTCACCGGTACGAGGAGATATCTGATTTAACAAGTTCTAAAGACTCTCTTCTAGTTAAAAAACATGCTAATCTCTAAGTACAAGATAAGGTGTGTAAAAGAATTGAGTACATACATGCTATAAAAATGTTGGAAGTTTTTATTAGCCAGTTCAAAACCAAAGTATGTGCTATGGTCTGTAGGATCTTCAAGAGGATTTTTAAAGCGATTTCCAGGTCCCTGGATTTGAGTATTGACACAATTCTAGGATCAGTGCTTTTTACCACTGGACATCTCAAGGGAGCGGCCGTGGTTCCCTAAATTATCACTCACAGAATTTAGAGTTGACAGATGTCACTAGAAGACTGGCCCTTATCATTTAGATCTCAATTTAAGAGATCTTAATTTACACACCACACCACGCAGTTACTCCTATCATATAACACTGCTTGTTTCTGTCTAATGACTTGCTGTTGTCAAACACCTTCTTTAAAACGGAGGTTCCATGAAGGGATTTTATCAGTTTCATTCACAGCCATGTTCCCAGTGACTAGCATGGTGCTTGCCACATACTAGACACTCAGTAAAAATTCTGAGTGATTAATGAATAAATGACTGCACCTTATCTAACCTCATCCCTGTTTCTTCTACAAAGCATTTCTTCTTAAGAAATAAAACAAAACAAAAACTTGAGACATGGCATGTGGTTATTCAGTCACTATGTAAATGTGGCATTTTTATCCCTAAAGGGATTCCACTGTAGAGTAGGGAAGGATATAGGGATCTATCCATTAGAATTTTCTTCTTTATATTGAATAGAAAACCATGAGTTTTTTGGGTTTTTTTTTGGTCATGTTAGCTTCAGAAAGTTCAGCCTGCCAGTCATCGAGCAGCAGCTTGCCCCTTTTGACAATCCTTCAAACATCTGAATATGGGTTGTCAAATGCTTGCTTTGTCTTCTCTTTATTTCTTTATTCTTCACATGAAGACTTTGTTGACTTAATGTTTTTTTAGATGTCCAAATCATGTGTGTTTGTGTGCACACAAACACACAATTTGGACATGTGCTGTTGGAAAAACTTTCAAACCAGTCTGAAATCCATCAAAATAATAAAATGCTTAGCTGGGACTGCTAGCACCTGTTCCATCTTGTTTTGTCAATCTCATGGTTGTTCAGATAGCTCCGAGCACAAAGCCAGCTCAACAATGCCTCATTCAGCGAGAAACACTCACTTTGTCTGCCAGTTGCACATTCACTGAGATCACTGACAACCTTGGAAAATGCACATTTAGGCATGGTAATCTGAGACAGCTGGATCCCTTCACAAACCTTGCAGCGGACTGAACTAGTCAATCCATCATCTCCCAAAGGTCATTTTAATGGCTCCTTTTTGCAGTAAGTTGCAAAAAGTTTTAGATTTAAAAAATGACAATGGAAAAAACCAAGTTAAGACAGAATTACAGAAAGGGGAGTTAGAGCAGGGGAATGAGTGGTGGAAACTGTTACATGCTCTTTTTCTCAACATTCTTCAACGGAAGGGAAGGAGGCCCATGACAAGGACTCCAGACCATACTCCTGCCCACTTTTCTATACAGTCTCCACTGAAATTTCCTTGTTGTTTGGACGCTTCAGCTTTGATCCTTTTGCCTTCTGACGGTTTTCAGCAGAAACTTCTGATCAACAGGTAAGATGTTTCACTAGATGGAGCAGCAGACCAAATATATGATAAGATTCAACTTCCACTCATGTTCTTAACAATAATTATAAAGAAAGGAGAGGAGAAAATGTCAGTATTTAAGTAAAGCACAGCAAAGGCCAAGTTTTATGGTCTAGAGAAGCTGACAGCAGCTGCTCATAGGGTACCCAGAGCCATCCGTCACCCCTCAGACCAGGTTCATAATCACCAAGGGCTAGAAAAGCAAACAAAGCCGCAGCTGTAGACGACTAGAGACAGCTGTGTCTCTGGGTGTTTTTATGTAGGGGGTGGGGGCAGGGATGGGTTCTTCCATATAGTTAGGGGCAGGAACCGAGTCTGGATAATGTTCCATAATTTCTGTCACTTGGCAAAACCACCTAATACATAGATGAGGATGTTATTTCAAAGAGAGGCTTACTCTCAAAATAACTCTATAGGGTGGTTATTATTAAATGAAAGTGTTTAGAGAAGAGCCTAGAATACTGAAAGTTCCTGCTTTCAAAATGTGTTTATTATTGTTTATCGTCTGCCTCCCTCATGTTGTAGGTTCAACAAGGAAAGGGAACGTGCGTTTTATTTACGAGTGTACCCAAAGCACTTCGTAAAGTATGTGGAGCATAAAAGGTGCTCAATAAATATTTGAGGAATGAATGAATTCTAAAGTTATCTTCATTTTACAGATAAGAAAGTGACACTTGGCGTAGCAAAATGACTGGGCCGAAATCACACTGATTGCAAGTGGTGGTGTGAACGTATCTAGTTAATCCAAAGTCTGCGCATGTTAAGAGTTCAAGAATTAGGATGGCAGCCTTTGAATCTGAAAATCTTCTCATAGAATGAAAATTACGCACTCTTCATCAGACCTCCAGAGGCTTCTGTCAGGGGTACTGGGCTGCGTGATCTATGCCACTTTGTTAATACTTTTATTTTCATTATAGAGCTTTCTGTGTTTGCTTATAAATGGAAATTACATTTCATTTTCTTGGTATCTAATGAGTCTTATCTAGCATCCATTAAAAAATATATATATATATACATATATATAAAACCAATATGTTAAAAATGGGATATGTTCACAGTTTTTAACATTTCCATAAAACAAGGTGGTTCTATCCAACTATTTTTACCTTTAAAAAACAAACAAGATTTACTTATTTTAGGGGTGGTGCAGAGAGAGAGAGAGCCTTAAGCAGACTCCCCGCTAGCACAGAGTTGGATGCAGGACTCAATCTCATGACCTGAACTGAAACCAAGAGTCAGACATTTAACTGACTGTGCCACCCAGGCACCCCAACTATTTTTACTTTCTATGCTAAATTTTCCTCGGGAAAAATTCTATTGTAGATTATCTATAGAAAATTCAAAAATTTTACCATTCCCCAGTAAAAACTCCGTTTCTCTGGGCAAAACCATTGGCACGTATCATTTAGAAAAAAAAGTTAGGTTTTGTTTTTTGGGTTTTTTTGTTTGTTTGTTTATAGGAATACTAAAGAGGAGGGCAATCTCAAACAACATATA